ATTACAGTCCATCATGGCAGGGAGGCATGGTGGCTGGAGCAGGAGTAGCAGAAGCTAAGCTCTCACATCATCACACAGGCATAGGAAGCAGGAGAGCGACTAGAGATCTGGCAAGGCTTAAGAACTCTGTAAGCCCACCCCCAGTGATGTGCTTCCTCCAGGATAGCCACACCTTCTAAAACCTCCCCAAACAGCGCCACCATCTGGGGACAAAATGTCCAAACATTTGGAGCCTATGGGGGACATTTTCATTCAAATCACCACAGATGGCAAGGGAGGCCTTCCATGTAAGTGGTATGCAAATACATTTTTTTTCCCTCAAATTCTGCCAATTTGTCTTTTTATTGTTTTGGTCAGTCTATCTTGAAATAGACTACTTTGAAGGTTCACTGGTCTTCTAAATCCTAGGTATTTTAATAAAAATGTTAAAACTGACAATTTAAACTTATTGAACCATTATAATGAATAGTCAACAGATGCTAGTCACTTTTCATGGAACAGCATGATGGAGATGGGGAGATGGGGAGATGGCTTAAGAGGTGAAGTGCTTGTCATGTAAGCATGAGGGCCAGAGTTCAGATCCCTGGCACCCACGTAAAAGTTGGGTATGACAGTGGCAATCCACGCCTATAATCACACTCTTTTGAGTGAGCAGAGACAGCTGGCCAGCCAGGTAAGTAGAAACAGTTAAGATCCAGGTTCAGTACGAGACCCTATCTCAAAAAAAAGTAGAGTGACAGAGGAAAGACACTTGAACTCACCTCTGTTCTCTACAAGGACTCATGTGGGCAAGCATACCACACATGTACTCTAAGATCACATATACATAATAATAATATGTAAGCACTAACTTCTGGTCCTGAATTAGCCAACTCTATGACCTTTAGTGACTTAATAAACTTTTCTAAATGTTTTCCTCATACATAAAATGTCTACACCAAGGCTTTTACTATATGAGAATGCTATACAATAGAAGACCAACTCATACATACAAGATTGACATACTACCTGACATCGTTTGGGTCTCGTTAACTGTTCTATCCAATTTTCCTTAAGATTTAATCTCTTCCTATCCATCCCAAGAACTCAGTTTATGCCCTAGGCAAGATCACATACTTTTTCTTAAAAGCAGTTCAGAACAAATTCTAGAATCATCCTTGACTCCTCCCTTTCATGGGAATGCCTAGCTGTGATGGGGGCTATGAGAGGTGCTTTGTTAATGGTATTTCTTTCCATAGCATTTATTGTTTCTAGTCATATCAAACTTGAAATAATTTAACACTATAATATCACGCTCAAGAATGTAGACTCTGGAGTCAAGGTGTTTAGAGCAAAAGTCCTAACCATCTCTGAAGCCTTGGACAAATTAGAAAGCATGCAAAACCAGTTTTCTTTCTTAAAGATGGAATTGGAACTAGTTTGTATTTTGAGAATGCTGTGCCTGTAAAACAGAAAGTAGACTGTTCACTGAGGGTTCTGCATGATGTGCCCAGGTTTCAACCCTGTGGCTCATAGTCTCCTTTTATGATTGTGAACAACACAGCTTAGACAGGTTCAACAATTTGCTCCTGATGCATCTGGTCTCAAAGACTGTGATGACATCTTTTGTTTCTTTTCATATGAAATTTATTTTTTAAAATATACAGGAGTTAGAATTCACATAAAGGAGACATAATATTGACAAATCCATAAGGTACCTCTTCCCTTTTCTCTAAGTCTTTCAGAAAGACCATTCAATACACAAAGATTAAAGAGAGAGACTGACACAGAAAGGGGAAGATTTTTGTCATGATTTTAGGAGGACCATATGGCACCTTCCCTCAGAGGCTTCTAGAAGACCCTTCTGAAGGGCCCCAAACTAGTGTTTTGGTTTTTCAATTCATTTTGTACTTTCCACAGTACACACCTCCCTTGAGTGTAATATATGAAACAGTAGTGGTTATCTGTAATTTAACTCAAATTAAACTTCAATCACAAATTACTTAGAGATGAATTAATGGAACAGAGAAATTGTAAAAAGACTAAGGGGATAGTGGCTACCCTGCAAACTGGGCAAGCATGAGGATGGCATTCTTCTGTTCCTTCCCTTACTTCTTCCCCTGGAGTAAACAATCATTTTTAGCACCTGCTCAGTGCTGTCAAATGTCCCTAAATACTTATCACAGTGCCAGACCAAAAATTGCCCAGAGAGGTTTTCCTTAAGTGATATCTACCAGGCAATGCAGGACAAGATAAAATTAAGGTGTCTTAATTCAAATTAAATACAAAAACTTAAGTCTACAAGCACAAAGTACCTGATCTATATAAGGTGTCAAGGGCAGAGTAATTACTGAGCACTGGGAATAGAGTCCATGGGCTGCATCTATATGTAATTCCCAGGCAATATCTTCAGAACATCATGAGAGGGAAGTGTTCAGGCACAGAGTATGGAAGAAGTTCATGATTCCAATCCTTATATATTCTAAGATAAGAAAGTCATCAAAAAAGAGTGTTGAAAGAAAGCAAAATCCAAAGAAGCAAAACACATTCAACTCTAATTTCTGATCTTTGCCACTGCACAATTCTCCCATCTTAAAAACTAAAATGCCAATGACTTTATAGACATACACAGGCGCCAAGGATCCAAGTGCAATCGATTATGACTAGGAATAATCAGATACATACAGATTAGAGATGCAAGTACCACCACGTCAGTGTTAGTAGCAAAAACAATGTCTTTCTGCAAGGAACAATATATTCTAAAACGAAATGGAGATCTTTTTTAAAGGTTAAAAACTCATCCAATTTTGTGTCTTACAGGGCTTATACTGAGTTCAATAATATATAACTATATTAATTCAACTGTGAACCTAGAAACTTGCACCCACTTGTGAAAGGGATGTCCCGTTGCTCCAGAGTGTGTTACTGAATATGTTAAAGCTGTAGTGAAAAGCTTCTAATCATGTAGTTATTAAAAATAAAAAAAAAGATGTCAAGGATGCCAAATAGGTGGCTGAGCAGTTAAGAGCATCGGCTGCCCTTGCAGAGGACCTGGGTTCTAATCCTAACATCCACATGGTGGCTAATAACCATCTGTAACTCCAGTTCCAGGGGATCCAATGCCCTCTTCTGACCTCCACAGGCATTGCACAGTTTTACATACATGCAGGCAATACACTTGTACACATAAAATAAAAATAATAAATATTTTAAAAAGATGTTGAAAACCAGGACTTGGATTTGGGGAATGTGGAATGAAAAGATAGTGTTTATTACAAATTAAGAACCAGTGAATACCGCTGTTTTCATATTTCAAAAATCTCTACTCTTCGGAATCTAACAAACCGTTTTTTTTTGGTCTTTTTGAGACAGGGTCTCCCTATAGTCCCAGCTGGCCTGGAACTCACTATGTAGACCAGGCTGGCTTCATCTCTCAGAGATCTGCTGCCCAGATGCTGGAATTAAAGGTATGTGCCACCACACCCAGCCTACAAACCTCTGTTTTTAAAAAATATATTCATTATTTTAATTTTATGTGTTTGAGTGCTTTGCCTGCATATATGTAAGTGCACCCATGTTGTACAATGCCCAAGGAGGTCAGGAGAGAGCATTGGATCCCCAAGCACTGAAGTTAATGGACAGTTGTTAGCTGCCATCTGAGTGCTGGGAATTGAACCCAGGACCTCTGCAAGAGCAACTAGTGCTCTTAATTGCTGAGCCATCTCTCCAGTCCCCTAACAAAGCTTTTTGAAGTTATAACTCTAATGATTGACAGCATACAGATACATGCCACTATCATTATAACACAGAGGCATATTCTCTATCATAATATGATTGGAATTATAGCAATAACATCATTATAACATGCATATTACATGTGTGGTGTTTATTATCCTAAGGATAGAGGCAAAATCATGTTTTTAACTGTCTTTTAATTAGAACTCACTTGAAAATGAATTAGGTAACCACAGTTAAAAAGAAAGTATCTAGTTGACTCATCGAAATTTTCATTTCCATTCACTTTTGATGCTCATCCTAGCCTTCATCAGAAACTTTGGAAGCATAAAGCAATGTATCAATCTGTATGTGTGTGTGTGTGTGTGTGTGTGTGTGTGTGTGTGTGTGCTGTATATCAAACAGGACCTTGTACCTGTTTCACAGACACTCTACACCAAGCTTCATATCCAGTCCTATAGAAATGAATCTTAACAGCCCTTATGGGGGCCAGTAAGATGGCTCAGCAGGTAAAGATGTTTGCTGCTTAAAGGACCTGAGTCCAATGCCCAGGACCTACATGGTGGATGAAGAGAACCAATTCCTGCAAGTTGCCTTCTGACTTCCACATACATACACACACAATACATTAATGTAATTAATAAAGTTAAAAAAAAAAAAACTAAAATGAAGTGCTCCAAGCAGGATCCCTGAAACACCCATGGAAGTGTGTTTAGCCCAGGCCCTAGTTTATCCCTAGTCAATGTCAGTTTTCTGAAAATGGATTATTCAGAACACCCTCAGTCTCTGGGAAGATGAAGAAAGATGTATTACTAAGATGCCTTCTGAAAGCACCAGCTCCACAAAAGCTTGGTTCAAGGAAAAAACCACATCGCCTTCTGGTTGGTCAGTTAACCCTTAGAAGAAAAGCCAGTATCCATCCCTCAGGCTTCCATGAATCCAGTCTGAGATCCTGATGTAAGCTCTTTATTTTCCAAGTCACCTTCGATGTCTAGAATGGTTAGTTTTACCTGTCACCTTGAGACCACCTAGATTCACTCAGAAAGAGTGTTTCAATTGAGGGATTGTCTAAATTGGGCTGGCCTTTGGCAAGTTTGATGGGGGATTATCTTGATTTTTAATTGATCTAGGAAGACCAACCCCATTGTGAGTGGAATCACTCCCATGGTAGGGGTTCCTGAATTACATAGAAGAGGACATAGCTAGGTGAGAACAAGTAAGTAAGGATGTGTTTATTCCCTCCTTGACTCTGAATGTGATGGACTAGCTGCTTGCCTTCCTGCCTTGGCTTTCCGGAAACGATGAACTCTGACCTGGATTTGTAAGCCAAACATGTCCTTTCCTCCCCTAAGTTGCTTTTGGTCAGCATTTTAATCACAGCAATAAGGATGAAACTGGGACAGTGCCCCATCCAAAAACCCAAAGGACTCTGCAGACAGGAAACAGCTTTTATTTGGATGGAGTCATTAGACTCAGATTTGCCAGGTCAAAGGTGTATGACTAATTTTCATGGGACAAATGTGAACTGAGTATGGCAGACAGCCATCATGGAGGGCTTCTAGAAGACAAGAGGAGTTCTTACAGAACAGAATGTGGAGTAAAGCAGCCTGTCAACAAATGGTAGGCTTTCCCTCCTGCTTTCTATAGGAGTGGTATGCAGTTCCAGGACCAGGAACCTCCAAAAGAATATACACAGTGCTTCTGAAGGAAAGCAGTCACCTAACAAGGCTCTCCAAGGAACCACCCATCCTCCAGCCTCCCCTCACAGGCTCTAAATGCGTAGCCCGGCACTGGTAACTCAGTCTCCTTTAGTGAAACCTATGCCTCTCCCTCAGTGCTCAGAACCATCAACCTAAGATGTCTGGGAAAAGACTTTGAAGGAGGTCTGAAACACCGATAAATATCTTAGAGAAGACAATCAGTAGTCCTGAACTGAGCTTCTTATTTTGTCCTTCAAAGTTCTAACAGGCTGTTCCCACCTTTGATGGGGCAGAACATCCACAAGAGGCTGGGTAAGGTTTCACTGGGAAGGTTGACAAGAACATTAGTCTGAACACTTAAACCAGGATGGAATAGTGAAGACCCAAATAAGGTCATGGTTTAATGACATTATCTGTTGGGATTCTTTGACATATAGTTACACGTCTATTTGACATTTGTTGGTTGCCAAGCACTGTGATGAATTGCTAAATGCAATCACTGAAAAGAGTTCACCAGCCAGGGAGATACAGGGGCTGCCCTGGTATCACTTGCTCTTCAAAGGTGATCAGTACCAAGATAGAAGACATGGCCCCAGTTTAGTTCACACCTGGTTTTGAATTCCATCTGCTCCATACACTAGGTTGCATAACTGCCCAATTTTTTGCTCCTCATTTCTCCTTATGCATTAAAAAAGAGCTAACGTGATGTGTTATCATCAGAGGATTTAAGAAAAACACTTGTCACTTGACACACCTGGGTTGAGGGAGCCTCAACTGGGCAATTGCCTTCAATGGGCTGGCCTGTGGCCATGTCCGTGGGTCACCTTCTTGATTGTTGAGTGGAGTGGGAGAGGCCCAGCCCACTTTCGGTGGTGCCACCCCTGGGCAGGTGGGCCTGTGTTGCATAAGAAAGCAGGCTGAGCAAGGGCCAGGGGAGCAAGTCAGTAAGCAGCGTTCTTCCATGGCCTGTTCTTCAGCTCCTGCCTCCAGGTTCCTGCCCTGAGTTCCACTCTTGGGCTCCCTCATGAACTGTGACCCAGGAGGTT